CCTACGCTTAAAGATGCCCGAATCTCATATTATGTCACATGCCTGTCTGTTTTGATCGTACGGCGCACAGCATTGATGTTGTGGACGGGCGACCATCACGAAATTCGTCACTGAGATTCACACGACCGCGTTTGAATCTGCAAACCAGCTACAAATAGTCATCCTGCATGGTACTTCATCGCCAAAAGCAGTTTGAAGCCGAGCGAAGCTCCGCTGAGCTGTTAAATTACACTTAAAGTAGTAGAAAATCATACTACGGAAATTTTCACGAGTTAAATCCATGGTGATGTAGACAACCAATTTCTAAAATGACGCCACAATGTAAAAACAAGTGACAGTCAGATGAAACAAACTGTATTCTACAACCAAAGAGTTCCATTATCAAATGTTGTAATTACTATTTAAATATTGTTTATGTAAGTGCGGCCAGTTCCGGAAACTTATAGTGCGCCCTATGTAAAAGGATTTAAATTTTTCTTATAATCTAGTTTACCGACTAACTCTGTAAACGCTGTTGATGTGACGAAATCAACTAAATGTTGTGTAATATTATTACTATATAATCTTTAATATTTACAGAGACACGTTATATGTTCATGTATTGGTATGTTCGGAAAACGTAACAAGGTACATAAAAGCTTCTATGTCGAAGGGCGAACACATACGATATGAAGGAGTGGCGCCAATGCTAATGTATTTCCGCATGTTTTTTTATATTGCCTGTACTCAAATAGCGCTTACATCAAACTGATCATGAGCTCGCATTGGACGATTACACCATCATTTTATATATCAGACTATCTCTTATTACCTTGATGAATAATCGTTGAAGAAATTAAAGAATTTCGTTCGTCGGAGATTGTACAAATCGGCGTATGTGGCATTGGTAAACGGCGCGTATCTGCTAACTAAACCAAATTTCACAGGAGAGGGACTTAACGTTATTACTTTGTTATTTCTATAGCTACGACTATCATTTTTGCACAGTAAGCATTATCCGCTCACGCGATGCGCGCCTCATACCTCAAAATGGCGGCTATTTGGTTTCGCAAATTAGAAAAGCATTCAGTTTAAATACAAGTTTTTATAAATAAAAATTATTATTTTGCATTGCTAAATAAATACCCTCCGTACTACCAACAAAAACATCTCAAATAAAATGCAGTAAGTAACCGCAAATCCTGCACTTAAAAAGCACTAATGAAATTTTTGGTGTACTTGGATAAATATGATAATATTCCGTTTACCACGAAATTACTCCTTAAAGTATAGTTTATAAACATTTATATTCAGGGCAAACTTAAAAAACGCTACTTACGGTATGTTTTCAATAAATAAACACCGAAATCACCAGCCCAAACAATAACACACACGATTGTCGTGACGTATTTTTGAAGTTGTTTATTTTTTTAAATGACAGACCCAGGCATTAAAAACTTTATAGTTTGCTAGAGTAGTTACCGAAATAGCAATTAATACTAGTTCTTTTACCTGTTATAACTTCGATATCCGATAAATCGGTATAAAATCATCACCGGCACCTCTAGGTGTGGTATGCGTCTACGGCTGCATGTATCGCGTGAGCGGTTAAATTACGTTGTCCACGAATTGATAACGATAGATTTGGCCATTAAATTACCGAAATGGAAACTCATAATCAAATGCTAGTTCCGCGTAATTGCACTATCCCCGACGAATGTTAAATACTAAGATTTTCAGTCTCGATGCATTTCTATGTCCCGGGAAAAGTGCGGTTTCGAAAATACAGGGATAAACTGCTAATATAGGAGATAAGCAATTGAAATGATGTTATTTAACGTGGTATGACAATGCATAATTTTGGATATTGTACGTCTTACGGATGGATGACACACATGTCACATATTCCAATTACACACTTACAACACCTGTACACATGCTTGCCGTCACACACACTAACACTTAGGTGAATCTATTTTTAGTCTGAAAGGTTAAAAAAATCTGTAGTGAAATTTGTATTAGTTGTAACACCAGTTATAGTAGATTACTATAGATTACTATTAATATTATAGAAGAGCGATGTTTCTTAACACAGGCCCTAACAAGCCTAAATGGAAACATCCGCCCCTGTACTATGCCCTTTAAAATGAACGAATAAAATTTCATTTCTATCGAGTTCTTAGGTTTTCGCGATTGTTACACATAGGAAATGAAACTATTTTTCAGCTTCCTGGGTACTACTTCATTGAATGTGTAGGTTTATCTATGACATGCTCGCAGACTATTGTAACTATAGTGAACAAATAAGGTGGTTTGCATCAATATTAGACATAACTGGTTGAAGACTGTACCACCTCAGTCAACCGTGACCATGGGACCTGTAAAGGGCCCGAAACGTCGGTTTGTTTGAAAAAACAAATATACGCGATTTAAATCCGGAAAAATAGTTTCATTTCCTATGTAAAACATTTCTATTTTTATTATTTATTTTTTTAAACGAGCCTAATTTTAAAAGTAGCAGGCTATTCTATTTTCCATAACTTTAAACAGCCACGTGAACATTACTGGTGTTCCGGTTTTGAAGGGTAAGAGTACGGGTGAAATTACAGGCACATGGGACTTGTCAACTTATGTCTCAAGGTGACGGCTGCAGTGCCAGAGTCCCTCTGATCTTGGAGATTTAAAGCTCTGATTACCACTGTTATGAACACGTGTGTCGCTTACTACCTAGCTTACGACTTGTCCGTCCGTGAAAAAAAATATCTAGAAGTCTAGAAGTATTGATTGTATAATCGTCGGCAACGGAGTCTGAAGGTTTTTTCGTTCGGTGATGGCGGCGTAATCGACGGAAAATCGATGTGGCATATATTTTTCCGGTGTTGCTAAAAAGTACTAAAACACTGTTTGAACAAACCTTTATACTTAGAATAATAACGCATAGAAACCTAGCCCGCACACGTTAAGTGAGGCAAATTGAAGCGCGCCCAATGGGCCTACACGAGCGGGCGGGTCTTCAGTGCTCAAGGTCAACTTGCACCGCGAACAGCTCAAGAATTTTAGCTAAAAATGACGAAATGTGCGGTAAATGAGTGCAAAAATACGTCAGACAAACGTAAAAAAAATACTAACATCACATTCCACAAGGAAGTAAGGCGTTTCAACTTGTATTTTTATATAAATATTCACTAAAACCGAAAATTAACCTACTACTAAAACTAGCCTACATGAGTTTGATTTTTGCCTCACTTGTGACAGTTCGTTTGATATGAAACTGTCATTCTATGCGTTATTATTCTAAGCCTTTATACTTATTTTCGTTATTTTCAAGGTCAGTGCAAACCGGTGCACGGGAAAGCAGAAGACTTTAAATTTATCAATGTACAGGTTGTCCTAGGGCTATGCCACACGGAGGGAAACTATCTTCTATACGTAAATACAAAATTTTACTGAAAGAGGACTCCATTTTGATTTTAAAAACAATTCGAACTGCATTCAAGGATTTTTAAATAATACCCTGTGTGAACCGCGAATCGAACCCGCCAAATGTGGAAAAAAAAAGAAAAAGGCGGCAAAATGAAAAAGCGCTTTGGAATTCTTTTTGCTTTTTCGCCTTTTTTGCATTTTCGGCGGGAAAATGAGTTACCTTCTATAACGAAAATACAGTAATCGATTGTACTCTGCCAATTTAAAACAAGAGGCAATGTTAGCCAAATGTCAATTAATGACGTTTCATATTATTTAATATTCTTTTAAGTTTTTTACGTTGCGTCGATTTCGTGCGCCATGTAAGCCGAGTTGCAAGCACTAACGATGCGAGCAGTTTCTTTCTTTGTTAGTTTTACCTGCCTAGCACATTCTCTGAGGAAATAGGGGGAGGCGAACTAGACACTCACGCTCCATCACATATACACACATACACACATATACTTACACAGACCTATACACGACAATTGATGTAAATTACAGTTAGTTATGAACTCAGTTTTTATTGTACCAATTTAAATTTTTTTTCTACCCAGTGTTGTAATAATAATATCACATATTTTGTATACATATTGAGTTTCTGTAATTGGCTTTTGTACTGCTTAAACACATTTCGACACCTCCTACGTAAAGTATCGTATGTCGAAATTGCCAAGTTTACAGGGAAGCATTTTAAAGTTCCGAATTCACTGAAACGAGCATAACACGACAAACCTAATCTAATAGATCATCTAACCGATATGTAGGATTTTGCAATACTCTGTGTGAGTAACCGTTTGCCGAATAAAACTGAAAAATGCTAAAGTCACCTGTTATGTTCCGTTCAGTGGATTCAAAACTTTAAAACACTTCCCTGTAAACTTGGCAATTTCGACATACGATACTTTACGTAGGAGGCGTCGATTTGTCAAATAAGTTTAAGAATGCTGTTGAAACTTTGTTCATTGAATAAATAAATAAATAAATAAATAAAAAAGTTTTCTATTACATACATACGTCTATGTGATAGAAGATGTTGTGTGTGTATGTTTTTCTATAACACATACATCTTCTTTTTAGTATTTTATTATTTCCTCACAGTTTGGGAAAAGCACTATACATGCCTCGGCGGGAACGATTATTACTTGACTCGTACTAACACAACTCGTACTCGTCCAGCAATCACTTACTTTCCGGCCTCTGCAATACTACAATGTACTATTTTATTTACATAGTAAGGAAAATAAAACTTGAAGCTTCCGAAATAAGTGATTTTTATTCCATGTAACTTCATTGTCTATTCACCAAGCAGTATTGGTATTACTTTATTAATATCATAATAACTACACAACAAATATAAAGATATAGGATATCTATCAGCCGAAAAATACAAAACTTTGGTTGCTAGCTTACGAATTTTTTTTATATATATTACAATTTTTCTTTTTATACCATTACAATTAGTGTTACATTTTAATCAATTGAGTATTTAATCATTCTACTCTTTATTAAAAATATATTAATTTATAATACGGGGTATTAATTACTGGCATGTTTAATGTGGATCGTTGCCATTTTCCAAAAAGAAATTGTTTTTATCCATTGCCGTTACTGCCTTCCATATTGTAATAAACGTAATCAATATTTTTTAGAGAAATTGAATTAATATCAGGTAAGAGCGAAACGAGTCTACAACCCCCATTATGCCGTTTTTTATATTTTATTTACTTTTTATTAATATTTTTCAAAGAAAAAAAAAACCTCAGATCTCCAATAAATGCAAATGCATTAGTTATGACAAAGAGGGCAGTACAGCTGGGTTGACATTCAACTTGCCAGCATAATAAAAGTTTAATAACACGCTAAGGTCAAATTTTAAACAATATAGAGACTAGATAGTCACTTGCTTTTTGCTGAAAACTGAATTCAATCATTCCAAGACTATCACATGAAGAAAAACTCATCTACGATGATAAATATTTACAAATAAAAAACGCTTAAGGCACAATACAAACGGGCTTTAAGCCTTAACTGTAAAACAGGACACGTAGAGTCAAGATACGTTAAAGCGTGAACGGGTGCGGGACGGGCGCACGGGTCCCGCGCCCGCTCGTGGCGTGTTATCGTCCATATAAGTACACGGAATTACACCCACCGTGCCCCCGACCCGACACGTGTCTGACCCGCACCCGCTGTCAGTGTTTCACGCTTCAGCTGGACACTAGTTCTTATTGTAAATTGTGTAATGTACATGTGTAACGTACAAACGACACGGGAACTCGCGCGCCTTGTTTTTTGGCTCGTATAGTTTGTACGTTACACAAGGGACATTAATTTCATTATGCTATGCTATACTATGGTTACAAACTTAAGTGTCGGGTTTGACGTGTTGACTCTGTACAATGGTTGGCCCCGAACATAAAATAAAGTCTGTCTTTTTTGAAGATGCAGTAAAATGGCAGCTCGTTGTGCAAAAGAAGCCGCTTGCAAGAAGCTAGTCATTGCAGTCGATAAATATTCTGTCGATTATCGACGTATGATGGTTATGTTGTTCAATATGAAAGTTTACTTAGTTTTAATTCAATATAGATGGTGAATCCGCCTGTTCTTGTTAAAATGTATATTAATAAAAATTGATTTCGATCCTAGTCTACCAAATGTCAAAATAATTATGAAGAAGACAATGACGTAATTAGTAATGACTACTTATGGCAAAATTTCACAATCTATCGATAAAACTGTCGACAACAACCACGTGACTTTTTTAAATTTTATGAAAACTGGCAAACCTGCCAATGTCATTTAACTCCGTCTTCAAAAACGACACTATTGAGACTTTTCAGGTGATCGCCCATTATTTTATCGTACGCGCAGTGTAATATCATCTGTATAGGAATTTCTGCAACGATGTTACCCCACCAAGAGTTGTTACTGCATTATTTTAGTTTATCATATCACCGCAGAGTGTCAACACGCTTATCATGACTGGTCGATATTCACGCATACACACGTGTGTGACACATACTGGGCCCAAAATGATAGGTTAGGACAAAAGTAATGGGCACGGCCTACACTGTCGATAGACGGTTTTAAAAACCTCGTATATACATAATGTGACCATAAGTCTCGCTTTTAAGATTCATATCCCGCTGTCCAGACTACACAAGATCCTCTGTTGCCAAGAATAGTTTTTTTTTCAAATTTTTGACTCATTAAACAATTTTAGTTCTTTTAATTTTTTTATAAACATTTCGTAACTATATAATAATAATAGCGCGCGCACACACTCCGTCCCGCGCTAGGGAAACCCTGTATCGCGGGTGCCATGGATAGATGGACATAGACATCCACAAATTACACCCAAACACACGAGGGAAATAAATGTAGGTCATACAAATATATCTCTCGGCCCATAATCGTTGGTCCACGGAGACAGTTAACTAACATAAACACGTCTTTTATTTTTAAAACTATAATATTGTATATAGGCGTCCCGCTCTGAGGGAAGAAAATAATGGTCACGTTATGTATACAGGGCATAATAATGTAGTAATAATAAAGTGCCAACAATTACCTGATCTCAAATTAGGCAATTGCCTGTACTATAAGTACCAGAGCAACGGTTACTCCGGGCATTATTCAGAAGCAATTTAGGAAAGTAATTTTCTAAATTTATCCTATCGGGTGAATCCGGTACCTCCTCATGCAGAGAGCAAACCCTTGGACCACCGAGATTAACATAATCTAGCGAGATTTGCAAATTATTCCCACACAGTATTTAGTACCAGCGCGCACGATCCCAATAAATGTGTATCACCCCTTACACTCTTCTATTCTCTGCTATTCTATATATCTACAATACACATAAATTTCTAAACAGATAGCATGTATGCATATATATGTATATCGAAACAAATTTGCTATTATACTTCGTGTTTTAATTTAAAATTTCTATCATAGAGCCTCGGACAGTCTTCTACAATATTTTTTTTACAATCACAACGCATATGGATGTCGGTTTTTGGACAAATTTTCGATATTTAAAAATATATTTTATATGAATTACACCAACCTTAAGTGCGTAGCACCTTTTTCTTTCTACATAATTTAGTTTAAAAATGGACCGACTGGGATAATCAACGGCTGGCACTCTTCCCAAATGAATTAGCTATACAAAAAGGGAAAGCTGCCAGCTGCCCTGTCACGGAAACCCAATTTCATTCCTTTCTAATCTATCTCTAGTAATCAAGCTTTTAACGTATGTTATTAAATAGATATATTATTTTATGATAAACATGGTGGAATGACACTGTCCAGATTCGAATGAATAAAAAAATGTTGTACAGCTGTCAAAGATTGTTACGATTTTGCATTACTTCACTATCATTCCGTTTTGACCATTGGACATACTTAATTTGAAAATACAAATATACGCGATTTAAATCCGGAAAAATAGTTTCAATTCCTACGTATAGTATACGTTAAACATTTTCCAAAAGGTTTTAATTTACTTTGTAATAAAAATAATTCTGAAATGAAGCCAGTGTTCCTGCCTCTCGACTACAGTACGGGAAAAAAATGTAATTCGACGCTTAATAGTGAAAAACAACGACAATTACGTCTATTTCAACAAGTTTCATACAAACGTTCAACACGTCAACTGAAAGTATATTCCGTCATTTCGAAACACTGTGGAACTGATAGAGATCGTACATAAGAATATCCAATCATTCGCCTATATTACGTTTCACAAAATTCACTGATTATTTAATTAATATAACACACATTCGCACGTCTATCTATTGCATCCATTATTCCCAAAAAGGAGCCTCTTGGTTTCGAAAAACAACTTTAATTCTAAGTTATTATGCTACGAAAACTTAATAATCCATGGTCAGATGTTGCAAATTTGAAAGTACAGTCCATGTTCAAAATGGGGTTAAAGAATAAATTTTTGCTCCCTTGAAATCAATCGGTCAAATCACACCCCGGCGACCCAGTTGCAATTACAACTCATAGGCTTATTTGGACTCTGGACACAAAAAGTGGATAGCGCCACCGCATTGGGGTCCAAAAATATTTTTTCAGCCTTTCCTTGGTCACTATAAGATCTTATTCACACGGCGTATTTTATCGCGCATTTTGATAAGATATACTTTTAATTTTGGCTTTGTTTGCTAATATTAGTTAGTTTTTGAAGTGAAGCAACTATAGTCCATTTGTTTAGGTACTTAACTAAATGTAAACAATCTTGAGATGTCTATTTAGTGAAATATACATTTATAAAATGATTTTTACTTACCTTCAAGTACATAATACAAATATGCTTCATATGAAATTGCATGCTATTTTTAATTCTATTGATTTGTTGATAAAGTGTACGTTTCAATAAAAAGATGTATCAAGATTGTTTATATTTAGTTAAGTGCCTAAACAAACGTACTATAGATTTAATTTTAAGTGTGAACTCCGGTGGAGTATATAAGCTTCTTACTTGCAACGCGATGTTTGCGCGCGTTGGAATCGATTCAAACGCGCGTAAAACGCGATATAGACGGCCTTCGAACGCGCTTCTCGCGCGTATCGGTATCGCGTATACGCGCGTCATCTGCGCATATTCGGCGTTTATAAAATGCGACATGTGTTTAGGCTCTAAGATACAAGGTCATACAGGTATAACAGAATTCATGCTTGGTCTTAGCGTATTGTAACCAGAAAGCTACCGGATACATATGCGGCTGCTTCTTATCGATGGTGATGTCAGAATAACTCAAAGCTCTAGTAAGAACAACAAACGCAAACAACCAAAGGTTCTTGGGGCTCAATTATCTCCACATTTACTATATTCAGAGTCACGTCTTCTTTTTCCCTTTAGTTTCTTCGAAAATGTCTTTGAAATCGTTGAGGAGGATCTCGACGACATGGTTCTGCTGGATGCAATCGATGGCGATGTTATGGGCTTGCTCGGCTGGGGCCCATAGAAGTGTCGGGCCAAACACAATGGCCAGATTTGCTGTGTGCATTCTGTTACGCTCGCTATATTGTGTTACCCTGAAGACAATATGGTTAAATTTCATCACACGGTAAATTATTAATAACAATACTGCGTTTTGGAGTTTAACAGTAAGATTGTGGTGAAACTGCAAGCCCATGGGACTAAGAACATGCCTAAAACATAGATAACACATAGTGAATATATTTTAGTAACCGCAGAGCTCCATGTGAAAGAGTTTGTCCAGGGAAGTACTGCCACCTTACTTATTTCTGCCGCCAAGCAGTAACGTGAGCAGCGGTTTAGAAGGGTTAAGGCTGATGGTGAAGTTACAGGGTTGTCAACTTATGTCTCAGGGTGATGGGCGCAGTGGCAATGCCTCTAAGATCTTTGCGATTTAACCGCTCACGCGATACATGCAGCCGTAGACGCATACCACACCTAGAGGTGCCGGTGATGATTTTATACCGATTTATCGGATATCGAAGTTATAACAGGTAAAAGAACTAATATTAATTGCTATTTCGGTAACTACTCTAGCAAACCATAAAGTTTTTAATGCCTGGGTCTGTCATTTAAAAAAAATAAACAACTTCAAAAATACGTCACGACAATCGTGTGTGTTATTGTTTGGGCTGGTGATTTCGGTGTTTATTTATTGAAAACATACCGTAAGTAGCGTTTTTTAAGTTTACCCTGAATATAAATGTTTATAAACTATACTTTAAGGAGTAATTTCATGGTAAATGTTAGAACCACTCAAACGGAATATTATCATATTTATCCAAGTACACCAAAAATTTCATTAGTGCTTTTTAAGTGCAGGATTTGCGGTGTATTACTGCATTTTAATTGAGATGTTTTTGTTGGTAGTACGGAGGGTATTTATTTAGCAATGCAGAATAATAATTTTTATTTATAAAAACTTGTATTTAAACTGAATGCTTTTCTAATTTGCGACACCAAAAAGCCGCCATTTTACGGTAGGAGGAGCGCATCGCGTGAGCGGGTAAAGCTCTGAGTGGCACTGCAAGTGTTATGAATAGGCGTGTCGCGTACCACTAGGCGCGCACGTTTGTCTCTTCACTTCATATTATAAAAAATAAAATAAAAAAAGATGTAATTTTTTTTAAACCACTGGTCATATTGCAATTATGATAACATTTGCTACTCTGTTAAAATCTAGTTTGAATGGCAGTTGAGTGTCAAGGAATGTCAGTGATGGCATATATTTATTAAATTACTAACGATCGATATTGCCTTACTAAAACTACCATGGAAATTCTATGCATATCTGAATTTTTATCTCTTTTAAACAGCAATTTAATGTTACATTAAATACAATATTAATACACTACGCCATCGACGTGCCATCGTAGAGCAGAATACCAAACGTAAAAAATCCTGTCACTGACTTAAAATGAGCATACTTCTCCAGCTTGCTCTGACACCCTACAGGTGGGAGGAGCTTACGACCACCATGGGCTATGCCGTTTTGATGGCGGAGTGTTAAACGGTGGAAGATCTGATAAAAATAAGTATTTACCTTAAAAGATGCTCCAATAAGAATTTAAGCGTATCTCTGTTGCACTGAGGAAGCGAGTTTACAATGTTGCGGAATTCCTTAATTTTGTCTTCTCTTGGCTTTATCGCTGCAAATAAAGGCATAAATTAGAGAGCACGTTAAAAAAAACCGGTAATATTATAATTAAGTTTCACCACCACGATATTAATTTTTTTTGTGAAATTACTCCACTATCGAGTTCTTAGGTTTTCGCGATTGTTACACATTTATTACTTATTTATTTATTTACATTTCACATGTAGTTTTAAGTGTTATAGTACACAAACTTAGAACTATGGTAGGCACTACATGTGAGACCATGTAAGGACGTATCAAAATACACTTATGATCTACTAGTTTGTAATAATTATTAACACATTTATCGCACACTTAGAAAAAATTCACTTCGATCCGGTCGGATTCCAACCAACGTTTTCAACAAACCGTGGCAGACGCTACGCCAACTAAACCACGAAACGAATCAACGGACCTCACGAACTTTTCCATATATTTATAGCAGTCATCGAGTATATAACCAGATACATAGACGAAATGTCATTTAATTTGTTTGAAACTATTCTGCCAAATCATTACGGTGACAACTGCGCTCCGATTGGCCAGCCCGAATTCGAAACAATTAACGGGTGTCGTCGATTGTTTCACTTCAAATCCACCAGTTAATTTGAGCTATGCTATAATGGACGAACATTGAAAAATTACGTATTTAATATTTAATTACCGATGAAATGTGATTCCGTTTGTTTTGTAATTAGATGTTTTGCTGTTGTTGTTTTTCACATCACCAAATGGAACAGCCCGCCATAGTTACAGATATCTTTATTACAATAAATACAGAATATTTTTGGAATATACGGAGACGTACACACAGGTCAATTGTTGGCGCTGTATTACTTCAGCTTTCTAATAATAAAAGTGCATAAGGCCTTTGCCTGATGAGTTGCCAGGGAAGGATGGACCTTATTTCGTCTCTATTTCTGGTTATATACTCGATGGTTGCAGTTCTTTGTTTTGGTTTTTAACGATTTTTTTGCCGTAGTGCTATCTATGAGAAATCTATGAAAGTTTTTCTTCACTGTCAGGATGGTACCTTTACAGCTACCAGCCGATGACTAGAGATGTTACTTTAATAATTGTAATTAAGTTTTACTGACTGTGGATGTTTGACCACCATGATATTCAATTATTTTTTGTGAAATTACTCCACTAGTTTGTTATAGTTATTAATAAAGATCGAACACTCGGAAAACATTCACTTTAATCTGATTGGATTCGAACCAAAGTCTCCCAGCAAAGCGTGCCAGACGCCTTAAGCTTAGTTACACACTAATATTAGTTCTAACCACGGGTCTGGCAATATGTTTTTTACTACCATGATATTCATTATAACTTCGGTTTGGCGAAAAATTCGCTGATTCATGATCTGCCAGATCGAAGGAATTTTCTTTTTGTTTTTTCCAATAACAAGTCGGGACTGAAATCTAGTTTTTTGGAATTTGTAAAGAATAGCTTTGCTGTTGAAAAAAATCGATACAACCAATGAACACTAAGCCGACTGAATTTTTGGTAGTTTTTTTATGGTCCGTTTTTAAAGTAAACAGCCTTGTTTATTTGCTAATATTACACTCCCAGAGTTTTGTAAAAAAAATAGAGAGACAAAAAACAAAATTCGAAAAAAGAAACGAATTTTGCGAAAAAAAGAAACAAAATAAAAGAAAAAAAATCAGAAAATGACCGAAACTTAAGTTGG